ATCACATATATTCCGGTTTTTTCGAAATTCAAAAAACTTTTTGGATTTTCGTCTATTTTAATCAAAAAATCTATTTTTTGATTTTTGGGGGTCAAAATCCAAAAATGTCAAAAAATCCGAGATAGCAGTTTTGTAGCCCTGTCAATTCTACAGCTTTTATGTCCTAATCGTTTTTCTGTATTTGCAAAGCTATAGGCCTGACAGCTCTTCCCGCGAAACCCTTTTTTCGGTCGAAAACGGCAGAACATGACGTCACTCTGACGTCATTTCCGGCCAACCTATCATAGCCTTTGGAAAATTTTTGGTCACAATGTGTAAAATTGATGTCCGGGAGGGTACTGAAAGTTTGGTGACGATCGGCGCAGCGGTTCTGGAGATATATCGAAAAGTCTGGAGGGGGGGCAAAAAATAGCCCCCCCCCCCACCAGGGCGCGGGTTAATCTGCTCATACCCAGGGGATGGCAGTAACACGGGAGTTTTCGCCCGCCAAGCCGACCGGATCCCGGACCGCAGTTACACGGGCCTGATCCGTCGGCCTTTGCTTCACAGCGGATAACCGTACATACATGTACAACAAATCGTAGGACGAAATTTACCTGTGCATTCTCCCTCGCTGAATGTGGCGTCCAATGCGTCATCGTAGCCCGTGTTGTCCAGTCCGTTTTCGGAGACGGCCTCTTCAAAGCTGAGCATGCCTGCTGACAAAATAAACATTTGACAGCCAAATAAGCGTAAATATATTAGCTTCCCAAACGACAGGAATTTAGTATTTCTTTCAATCACCGATCATTTTGATTTCAACACACTTCCAGGAGGCGGGGAATCGTGATTCGATTATTATCCAGCGAGATCAACCCGCTCAAGGCCAGAGGATGGTATTTGAACAGGCGTGTTTTCGCAGATATGTAAAAACGCCGGCACTCTGGCACACCTTCTGATGCATCTCCTCTGCATGTGAAAATTTCAGACCCGGGTCCCCAAGTCACGTTCCGAGGTCCCATCACGTGACCTAACCTAAAAAGGCCCAATCATAGCGCATTCAACGCTGCTCAACGAGAGAAACACCATGTCGGTAAAATACACGTAATACAAACTCGGTGTTAAAGTTGTTGCGTAAAAATGCTTTCCATAAAGAAGTTAATTTAAAGAGCTTATGGCCTAATGGTGCTAAACCGTCAACTTAAAGTACTTTCGTCATGACTATTGATGCTCCTTCGAACGTGACTTTCCCACCGCTCGTCGTTACGTGGCCCAGGAGCCGAGTTAGAAGGGAGGCGGGGGATGTTCGAACATTGCCCCTAGACCGGCGAAGGCTGCGCCGGTTATATGGCCTTGGCTGCGCCTAGCACCGGCCCGGCGAAGGTTGATTATTGCCCGCCAGCCGCCAATTGTGGTCCCCATCGTACAAACTTGCACTGCTCATGGTATTTTCACGTTCCGCTCTAGTGGTTGCGCGACCCACGACCAGGGATGCGGAGCCGAGGAAATTTCAGACGGCTCCGGCTCCGGAGAGAAAAAAAAATCGGGTCCGGCTCCGGTTTCGGTTCCGGGTGAAATGCCATGGCGGCTCCGGCTCCGGCTCCGAGTAAAATGGTCCGGCTCCGGCTCCAATGCTCTATACATCCCCTATGCAATTAAATAGGGGTGGAAGAAAAAATACGATGGGATTGGTGCAAGTTGCTTCTGTATTTGCATAACAAGGCTATTTTTATATTTTGAATACCGCATGTTTTACTGCCTTGAACTGTCAAATCGAACTACTGGGTCAATAATTTTCTCCTCTTCAAAAAAAAAAAGGAGCCGGAGTCGCCCCCTTTTTTGACGGCTCCGGCTCCGGCTCCGGGCTATATTGTTTCACGGCTCCAGCTCCGGGCAAAATATGCCGGCTCCGGCGACTCCTGCTCCTGCTCCAGCTCCGGCTCCGTACCCCTGCCCACAACCCGCTGTCCTCCCAGAGAGTTGGGTATTACCATGGTCCATGACTGAGCGCAACTGTCAAACCGAAGGGAAATGCCATCTGGAACCGTCCGGCCGTCAACCGCGGGGGAGGGGGAAAGCGAGCAGCGAGCATTTAACGAGCTGAACACAATGAGACCATTTAACCTTGCAATATCAGATGCACGCTTCATCTGCCAGGGTCGATTAATTGCCATAATTGTGTCTCCCAGACCCCAACCACCTCTGTCAACCCCTGGGAAGGGGTATTACTTACCGTAACTGGGGCCGCCCAGGAGCTGCGGCAGAGGTCTGTGGCTCAGTCTCCTTCACAGGAGAGAGTGCTGGTCGTGTCGAGGGCAGCGAGTCATCCTCCAGCAGACAGCCTGACAAGCCTGGGGTCAAGAAACATGCGTTTTCAAGTGTATGAGTGACCATATATTCCAAATGAAATGTAAGAGGCATAGGCACATATTAGAAACATTGAAGTGATAAGCAACTGGATACAACTGGTATTGAAAGGAGTGGAAAAGTAAAGTACATAGGGAAAGCAAAGCAAGAAAAACAAGCTGAACCCACCAGCAACTGAGTCTAGTTTGATTAGCCCTAGGGATGACTGGTCTGAAGATCTTGCAGAGAGCAGCCCAGAACATTCCTCTGGTTCAACATTGCCCATTGTCAAACATGGGTTAGGGTACACCTGAAATCAGATAGAAAAGGGAACATTAGAATGGTGTGTGTCTAACTGCACTGGAAACAACAAACTGTCTAGAAATATGTAGTTTTGAAAGTATCTCCAGATATACTGAATAAAATGACTGGACACCCTTATTAACAATGCCCACCGACATCCAAAACAAAGACGCGGAATAAGAAGGTGCCTGATACACATACCCACTGATTGGCACTCTGCAGTCAAAATCATCACTAACAATTTCATACAATATCTATTTGCATCTTCATACTGGGATCCCTGGGAATCTGGGATGGTAGGAAGCAAGAGGTAGGTACCTTAACCTACCTATGCGTCCTGCGTCGGGACCTACCTATGCAACAAGCACCACACACAAAGCAGTCAATTCAAACATTCAGGCTTCAGCTAGGATTGTTAAGACTTGGAAATGATAATTATCATAAAAATCCGTTAAAATTTTATTGTGCGTCAGGATTTAGACAGAATGAAAGACCCATTTCAATTTTTATTCCAATTCCACGTGAATTCAATTTCAAATTCAATCGCCGATTTGCAGAAAATGACCCCCATACTTACCTATTCGCATCAGGCAGCCTTCCCTCGGCAATGTGACATTAAAAATGAACAACTCCCATCAATCGTGCCACACTTATGATGAATCGAAATTAACAAAATCCAGCATCTTCTCCGCAACCGATATTTTCAAACGAACGAGGGCTGTTCACGGGCCCTGTGTGCGGTCGGACCGCACACAGCCTCCAAGCTCCGCCCACTGCGTCCCTACGTCAGCCTTCCGTCACCGCACACAGCGATCGCTGTGGCCGGTCGGGACTGGCCACAGCGGACCGTCCACCGCACGCAGCCGTGACGTCAGAACCGCCTACCCATCCCCTACCCCCACGCCTGCTGGACGCACCGCACACAGCGCACGCAGCAGTGTGCGGTGCCCGTGAACACCCCTCTGTGCTTTCAAGGCACTCCCATTTCAATTTTTTTTTTTTTTTTAGTGGCCCTAACTTACGTTACCGGCCTCGCGAGGAGGGCGGCGACCTAACTACGCCGCGCAAAACAAACCGAGGGCTGTTCACGGGCCCTGTGTGCGGTCGGACCGCACACAGCCTCGAAGCTCCGCCCACTTCGTCCCTACGTCATCCTTCCGTCACCGCACACAGCGATCGCTGTGGCCGGTCGGGACTGGCCACAGCGGACCGTCCACCGCACGCAGCCGTGACGTCAGAACCGCCTACCCATCCCCTATGTAACGGAAGTTGGCACAGATTCAGCACAGATTCAGCACAGCACAGATTCGGTAGGGGGAAAAAAGGCCCCGGTAGAGGGAAACCTTTATGACCCGTTTTCCCCTAGAAATGACGTCACAAAGAGGTAAAAATGGGTATCAATCGAAAGCTCTCGTTTACCCAGACACAGTCCCGCAGGAAAATTCCGCTTTTTTTCCCATAGGAAAGTTTTTACGGGAAAATCAAAATTTTGGGTCAATGGGGGGTCCCCCCCGATTTCGTTCAAAATCGGCACACAGGTGCCCCACCACCAGCCGAGAAACTTTCCCCAAAACGGTCCCCGTTGCATTGACGTTTAAGGCCCTTAAAGCCCCGTAAACTCGTAAAAAATCCGTAAATTCGCCCTTGTACGGCCAAAAACGGGGCGCTATGGTGAAAATGGGTATCAATCGAAAGCTCTCGTTTACCCAGACACAGTCCTGCAGGAAAATTCCACTTTTTCCCCATAGGAAAGTTTTTACGGGAAAATCTAAATTTTGGGTCAATGGGGGGTCCCCCCCGATTTCGTTCAAAATCGGCACACAGGTGCCCCACCACCAGCCGAGAAACTTTCCCCAAAACGGTCCCCGTTGCATTGACGTTTAAGGCCCGTAAAGCCCCCTAGACTCGTAAAATATCCGTAAAATCGCCTTTGTACGGACAAAAAAGTGGTGCTATGGTAAAAATGGGTATCAATCGAAAGCTCTCGTTTACCCAGACACAGTCCTGCAGGAAAATTCCACTTTTTTCCCATAGGAAAGTTTTTACGGGAAAATCAAAATTTTGGGTCAATGGGGGGTCCCCCCCGATTTCGTTCAAAATCGGCACACAGGTGCCCCACCACCAGCCGAGAAACTTTCCCCAAAACGGTCCCCGTTGCATTGACGTTTAAGGCCCTTAAAGCCCCGTAAACTCGTAAAAAATCCGTAAATTCGCCCTTGTACGGCCAAAAACGGGGCGCTATGGTGAAAATGGGTATCAATCGAAAGCTTTCGTTTACCCAGACACAGTCCTGCAGGAAAATTCCACTTTTTCCCCATAGGAAAGTTTTTACGGGAAAATCAAAATTTTGGGTCAATGGGGGGTCCCCCCCGATTTCGTTCAAAATCGGCACACAGGTGCCCCACCACCAGCCGAGAAACTTTCCCCAAAACGGTCCCCGTTGCATTGACGTTTAAGGCCCGTAAAGCCCCCTAGACTCGTAAAATATCCGTAAAATCGCCTTTGTACGGACAAAAAAGTGGTGCTATGGTAAAAATGGGTATCAATCGAAAGCTCTCGTTTACCCAGACACAGTCCTGCAGGAAAATTCCACTTTTTTCCCATAGGAAAGTTTTTACAGGAAAATCAAAATTTTGGGTCAATGGGGGGTCCCCCCCGATTTCGTTCAAAATCGGCACACAGGTGCCCCACCACCAGCCGAGAAACTTTCCCCAAAACGGTCCCCGTTGCATTGACGTTTAAGGCCCTTAAAGCCCCGTAAACTCGTAAAAAATCCGTAAATTCGCCCTTGTACGGCCAAAAACGGGGTGCTATGGTTAAAATGGGTATCAATCGAAAGCTCTCGTTTACCCAGACACAGTCCTGCAGGAAAATTCCACTTTTTTCCCATAGGAAAGTTTTTACGGGAAAATCAAAATTTTGGGTCAATGGGGGGTCCCCCCCGATTTCGTTCAAAATCGGCACACAGGTGCCCCACCACCAGCCGAGAAACTTTCCCCAAAACGGTCCCCGTTGCATTGACGTTTAAGGCCCTTAAAGCCCCGTAAACTCGTAAAAAATCCGTAAATTCGCCCTTGTACGGCCAAAAACGGGGCGCTATGGTTAAAATGGGTATCAATCGAAAGCTCTCGTTTACCCAGACACAGTCCTGCAGGAAAATTCCACTTTTTCCCCATAGGAAAGTTTTTACGGGAAAATCAAAATTTTGGGTCAATGGGGGGTCCCCCCCGATTTCGTTCAAAATCGGCACACAGGTGCCCCACCACCAGCCGAGAAACTTTCCCCAAAACGGTCCCCGTTGCATTGACGTTTAAGGCCCTTAAAGCCCCGTAAACTCGTAAAAAATCCGTAAATTCGCCCTTGTACGGCCAAAAACGGGGCGCTATGGTTAAAATGGGTATCAATCGAAAGCTCTCGTTTACCCAGACACAGTCCTGCAGGAAAATTCCACTTTTTCCCCATAGGAAAGTTTTTACGGGAAAATCAAAATTTTGGGTCAATGGGGGGTCCCCCCCGATTTCGTTCAAAATCGGCACACAGGTGCCCCACCACCAGCCGAGAAACTTTCCCCAAAACGGTCCCCGTTGCATTGACGTTTAAGGCCCGTAAAGCCCCCTAGACTCGTAAAATATCCGTAAAATCGCCTTTGTACGGACAAAAAAGTGGTGCTATGGTAAAAATGGGTATCAATCGAAAGCTCTCGTTTACCCAGACACAGTCCTGCAGGAAAATTCCACTTTTTCCCATAGGAAAGTTTTTACGGGAAAATCAAAATTTTGGGTCAATGGGGGGTCCCCCCCGATTTCGTTCAAAATCGGCACACAGGTGCCCCACCACCAGCCGAGAAACTTTCCCCAAAACGGTCCCCGTTGCATTGACGTTTAAGGCCCTTAAAGCCCCGTAAACTCGTAAAAAATCCGTAAATTCGCCCTTGTACGGCCAAAAACGGGGCGCTATGGTGAAAATGGGTATCAATCGAAAGCTCTCGTTTACCCAGACACAGTCCTGCAGGAAAATTCCACTTTTTCCCCATAGGAAAGTTTTTACGGGAAAATCAAAATTTTGGGTCAATGGGGGGTCCCCCCCGATTTCGTTCAAAATCGGCACACAGGTGCCCCACCACCAGCCGAGAAACTTTCCCCAAAACGGTCCCCGTTGCATTGACGTTTAAGGCCCGTAAAGCCCCCTAGACTCGTAAAATATCCGTAAAATCGCCTTTGTACGGACAAAAAAGTGGTGCTATGGTAAAAATGGGTATCAATCGAAAGCTCTCGTTTACCCAGACACAGTCCTGCAGGAAAATTCCACTTTTTTCCCATAGGAAAGTTTTTACGGGAAAATCAAAATTTTGGGTCAATGGGGGGGTCCCCCCCGATTTCGTTCAAAATCGGCACACAGATGCCCCACCACCAGCCGAGAAACTTTCCCCAAAACGGTCCCCGTTGCATTGACGTTTAAGGCCCTTAAAGCCCCGTAAACTCGTAAAAAATCCGTAAATTCGCCCTTGTACGGCCAAAAACGGGGCGCTATGGTGAAAATGGGTATCAATCGAAAGCTCTCGTTTACCCAGACACAGTCCTGCAGGAAAATTCCACTTTTTCCCCATAGGAAAGTTTTTACGGGAAAATCAAAATTTTAGGTCAATGGGGGTCCCCCCCGATTTCGTTCAAAATCGGCACACAGGTGCCCCACCACCAGCCGAGAAACTTTCCCCAAAACGGTCCCCGTTGCATTGACGTTTAAGGCCCGTAAAGCCCCCTAGACTCGTAAAATATCCGTAAAATCGCCTTTGTACGGACAAAAAAGTGGTGCTATGGTAAAAATGGGTATCAATCGAAAGCTCTCGTTTACCCAGACACAGTCCCGCAGGAAAATTCCACTTTTTTCCCATAGGAAAGTTTTTACGGGAAAATCAAAATTTTGGGTCAATGGGGGGTCCCCCCCGATTTCGTTCAAAATCGGCACACAGGTGCCCCACCACCAGCCGAGAAACTTTCCCCAAAACGGTCCCCGTTGCATTGACGTTTAAGGCCCGTAAAGCCCCCTAGACTCGTAAAATATCCGTAAAATCGCCTTTGTACGGACAAAAAAGTGGTGCTATGGTAAAAATGGGTATCAATCGAAAGCTCTCGTTTACCCAGACACAGTCCTGCAGGAAAATTCCACTTTTTTCCCATAGGAAAGTTTTTACGGGAAAATCAAAATTTTGGGTCAATGGGGGGTCCCCCCCGATTTCGTTCAAAATCGGCACACAGGTGCCCCACCACCAGCCGAGAAACTTTCCCCAAAACGGTCCCTGTTGCATTGACGTTTAAGGCCCTTAAAGCCCCGTAAACTCGTAAAAAATCCGTAAATTCGCCCTTGTACGGCCAAAAACGGGGCGCTATGGTGAAAATGGGTATCAATCGAAAGCTCTCGTTTACCCAGACACAGTCCTGCAGGAAAATTCCACTTTTTCCCCATAGGAAAGTTTTTACGGGAAAATCAAAATTTTAGGTCAATGGGGGTCCCCCCCGATTTCGTTCAAAATCGGCACACAGGTGCCCCACCACCAGCCGAGAAACTTTCCCCAAAACGGTCCCCGTTGCATTGACGTTTAAGGCCCGTAAAGCCCCCTAGACTCGTAAAATATCCGTAAAATCGCCTTTGTACGGACAAAAAAGTGGTGCTATGGTAAAAATGGGTATCAATCGAAAGCTCTCGTTTACCCAGACACAGTCCCGCAGGAAAATTCCACTTTTTTCCCATAGGAAAGTTTTTACGGGAAAATCAAAATTTTGGGTCAATGGGGGGTCCCCCCCGATTTCGTTCAAAATCGGC